ATTCCTTGGCTTGTGTCTGCATCACTATAGTCTCTGTTTCCATGGTCACATTGCTTTCTCCTTTCCTGTCTGTCAAATCTGCCTTTGCCTCCCTCTTTATAAAGAAATTTGTGATTACGATTATATTCCATTCGGATAATCCCGGATAACCTCCTCATCTCAAAACCCTTTATTTAATTACATCTGCAATTTTTTTTTTTTTTTTTTTTTTTTGCTTAAGAGTTAACATTCACAGGTTCCAAGGATTGGGACATGGACATCTTTGGGGAAGCCATTAGTCAGCCTACCACGCCCATCCTGTGACATTTAACAGCTCTACTCCATCAGAAGACAAACTCTGTCCTTAAACATTCAGTATCTTCCCATAGTCCCTCCAAATGCACTCCAAACCATCTTCCAACCCTTCACTTTATTCTCAATTTACCCTCCAATACCTACCATCTATACTCTTAAACTGTCCTCTAGTAGCCCCATTCCTCTTGAAGACCTGTGATCATTTAGTTGCATGCAAACTGTCCTGTAGTAGACCCTAACCTCACCCCAAGCCACCCTCAATCACCGCTGTCATCTATCCCTAAACATCCCCAACTTCACCACCCAACAGCTCTCTTTCTTCCCTCCATGTCTCCCATTCACCTGACCCCACAGTTGGCTCTCAATGAAATCTCAGCTGCATGAGAGAGGGAAGGAGAGAGGGAGGGAAAAAGTGGGGGAGCAGTGTTGAAGAAACTTGTGAAGCTGTGAGCAAGAGATTAAAAGAGAGAGGGTGAGAGAGGTGGAGGATGGGTTTATTGGGAAGGATATGTGATGGGAAGCACTTATGGAAATATTTGGGATGTGTTTATGAAGCTAGTGTTTGTAGGACTGGGATGTGTTACAGGATAATTAACCTGTGAGTCCAGTGCTGTAAATTTCCTTTCCCACTCTACTGTAAGTCTTTTGACTTTGCAGCATCTTTCATCAGATTATCACTTTATGTTTTGATGTGGTCAAACTAGAAAGATGGTAGAGCGTGGTGGTACAGGGTGCCTGGGTTCCGATCCCAGGTTTTATAAACTGGGGTGACCTAAGACAAGTGGCAAGCTTGTTGTACCTTGGTTTCCTGACCTATAGGTTAGGATAATAAATGTACCCGCCTCAGAGGTCTGTCATGGGTATTAAAATGAATTAAGGCAGATAAAGTGCCAAAAACAACCGACCAATTGATGTTGCTTCTTTTTACTTTTCTTTATATGTTTTGCTTGTTTCTTGTTTAAGAAGGCCTTCTTTTTGCCAAAGTCTTTAATGTGTTCTCCAAAAACATTTTGTTCTGATATTTTTTATTTTTTATTTTTTTTATTATTTATTTTTTATATATTTATATATTTTTATTTTTTATTTTTTTAATAGTCCACAAACTATCAAAAAAAAAGTTTAGATCTTCAGCTAATTTGGAATTCGTTTTTCTGAATTGTGTGAATCAGGAATCTAATCCTGTTCCCTAAAAGAACATCATTTCTCCCCAAACCATTTTAGTAAATACTCTCCCAGCGACTTGAAATATCATTTTTATCATTCACTAATTCCCACAAATACCTAGCTCAATTTTTGGATTCTTTTTTTCTGTGACATTGATCTAGTTTTCTAGCCCTACTTCCATATCACAATGTTTTAATTACTAGAGCTTTGTAATATATTTTTAATTTGGCAAGAGAATACCCTCCTCTTCTTTTATAAAACTAGACGTACTTACATATTTAAGGCATCATAGATTTTTAAATATATATTTTATTGATTATGCTATTACAGTTGTCCCATTTTTTTTCTCTTTTCCTCCTCCACCCTCCACTCTCCTACCCCCCAGCATTTCCCCTCCCCTTAGTTCATGTCCATGGGTGGTACATATAAGTTCTTTGGCTTCTCCATTTCCTATACTATTCTTAACCTCCCCCTGCTATTTTGTACCTACTACTTATGCTTCTTATTCCCTGTACATTTCCCCTCATTCTTCCCCCTCCCTCTCCCCTCTGTTTTACTGTTCATAGTTTATCTTCTTTTTCTTAGATAAGTCCCTTTAACATTTCATATAATAAGGGCTTGGTGATGATGAACTCCTTTAACGTGACCTTATCCGGGAGGCACTTTATCTGCCCTTCCATTTTAAAGGATAGCTTTGCTGGATAGAGTTATCTTGGATGTAGGTCCTTGCCTTTCATGACTTTGAAAATTTCTTTCCCTCTTCTTGCCTGCAAGGTTTCTTTTGAGAAATCAGCTGATAGTCTTGTGGGAACTCCTTTGCAGGTAACTGTCTCCTTTTCTCTTACTGCTTTTAAGATTCTCTCCTTATCTTTAATCTTGAGTAACTTAATTATGATGTGCCTTGGTGGGTGCTTCCTTGGGTCCAACTTCTTTGGGATTCTCTGAGCTTCCTGGATCTCCTGGAAGTCTATTTCCTTCGCCAGATTGGGGAAGTTCTCCTTCATTATTTTTTCAAATAAATTTTTGATGTCTTGCTCTTCCTCTTCTCCTTCTGGCACCCCTATGATTCAGATATTGGAATGTTTAAAGTTGTCCCAGAGGTTCCTAAGCCTCTCCTCATTTTTTTTGAATTGTTTCTTCATTCTCTTCTACTTATATGTTTATCTCTTCCTTCTGCTCCTAATCATTGAGTCCCAGTCTCCTTCCTTTACTGTTGGTTCCCTGTATATTTTTCTTCATTTGCATAGCTTTTGCAATTTTCTCCATTTTGTGACCATACTCAACCAGTTAAGTGAGCATCCAGATTACCAGTGTCTTGAACTGTGCATCTGATAGGTTGGCTATCTGTTCATCGTTTAGATCTGTTTTTTAGAGGGGAAGGGAAGGAGAAAGAAAGAGAAACACCAATGTGTGGTTGCCTCTTGCGTGCCTATCACTGGAGACCTGGCCCATAACTCAGGCATGTGCCCCGACTGGGAATCGAACCAGCGATCCTTTGGTTGTCCGGCCCCCACTCAGTCCACTGAGCCACACCAGCCAGGGCTCGCTTAGTTCTGTTTTGGGAGTTTTAATCTGTTGTTTCATTTGGGCCATATTTCTTTTCAGAGTGCCCCCCATGTTGGGAGGCACGGAGCCCTAGGTATTCACCAGGGCAGGGCAACCCAGGTCGTTTTACTGTAATGCTGTGTGTGGAGGAGGGGTCCGAGAGGGAACAATGCTGCCTGCTCAGCTCTCGGCTGGCTTTCAGTCACTTCCCCCGCTACCCACAAACAAATTGAACCCTCTGGTGCTGATTCCTGGGTGAGTGGGTTTGTGTATGTTATAGGACCCTGTGGGTCTCGCCAACAGACTCTCCTGTGAGGCTGGGAGTTTTTCCTGCTGCCACAACCCCCACAGGTTTTTACCTCCAGAGGTTTTGAGGCTTTCTTTTCCCACACTGGAACCCTGGATTGTGCGGGCTGTCTCACACCCTAACTGTTCTCTGGTTACGCAAACGTGGGACTGCCTGGTCCTCCAGCTGCACCTTGCAGCCCATCCTCCCGGCCCTGGCTGCCTATCTCTGCCCCTCCTATCGGTCTGGGTGAATGTTTCTTCTTTAACTCCTTGGTTGTCGGACTTCCATACGGTTCAATTTTCTGGCAGTTCTCGTTACTTTTTGTTCCTAAATTTGTTATTGTCCTCCTTTTGGTTGTGAGGAGGCCAAGTGTATCATAGGAGTTTTAACATCTGGTCTACAAGTTCCATTTTGGAATTTTTATTGGTAAAGTATTGATTTTTCAAAAATTAGTTTGTGGAAGAATTGTGTTTATCATGTGGATAATGGTTTTGTGTGAGTGTGTTAGGGGCGCACATGTTTACCAAGCCAACTTGGGAAATAAGGGTGCCAGTACAAAAAGGTGCAAGACAAATAGGAGCTCAGTGAAGTTCCTAGAGGTCCAACTGATGGGCAGGGTGTTAGGATACTGGAAAGGAGGAAAGGACGATTGTAGATTCAGGTTTTCTGTGAGCTGACCATACCCTGGAAAGTATGGGTGGAAACTCTCACTGTGTGCAAGCTGGCTTGCATGTATCTAGCGCACAGAAGAGCTCAACAAATGTTTGTTGAATCAGTGCACAATTAAATAATTCTTGGAGAGCCTATTGTATGCCAAACAACCTTTTCATAAATTATCTCTAATCTTTACAACAACCCTGCCAGTTACTATGACCCCCATTTAACAGGTCAGGAAAGCTGAGGCTCAGAGAGGTGAAGTCTGTTGCCTATATCCAAACTTTGGTTTTTATGATTCCACAAGTCATTTACGTAAAGGACCAGATCTCATTTCGATCCTTCCATTCATTCATCCATCCGTCAAGGATTTATTAAATACCTACTGTGTAAGCACAATGACCTAATACAATCACCGCTCCAGAAGACGTAGAGTAGACCGAGCGCTCCCAGCAAGACGGGGTGGGTGGCTGGACTGTGAATTCCGAAAGGGCGGGGTTCCTGGTGCACATCTCCAGGAAAATATAGCTGCTTAGATTGAGGTTGGAGCGCGGTCCAGGAATATTGGCCGAGAGGGGGCGCGTTTCCGCAGATAGAAACGTGGCCTGAAAACCTGAGCGGCGACTGGCCACCGGTGCGCAGGCGCAGAGGACCCAAGGAGCTGTTTAAAGTCTCGCTGAGGGGTACTTGGCGACGAGGAGGCGTGGCTTAATTAAATTGCCTCTCGCTGATTCGCCTCCATCTCTGAGCGTGGCCTAGGCCCCCTTCTCTGAATGAGGGCTGGCTTATCTAGTTTTCTCTCCGCTTCGGTGGCGTGGTTTAGAGCGGACTCTGGAACAAGCCCTTAACGATTGGCCGCCTCACTCAGAGGGCGGAGCCCGGCGAGCAGTCCATCCTACGTGCGGTCACTTCCTGTGGAGTTTCCCCAGCCCAGGGAGGAGGGGGAAGGGAAAGAGGGGGAGGAGGGCGGTCGTCCGGGGTTAGGTTCTGGGCGGGGGGGGGTGTAGGTCCGTTCAGGGCGGGGGATGACTCACAGCCCATCCCATCACCCCGACGCCGCCCGCCCGCGCAGAGCTCGCTCCATGGCTTAGCGGAGGAGGCGGTGGCGAGCAGGGGGAGGGGGACTCTTATTTTGTTAGGGGGATCGGGCTGAAGCCCGACCGGCCTGGCAGGGCTCGCCCGGGGCCGGGCGTCATGTCTCATGCAGCCGAGTCAGCTCGGGACGGCGTAGAGGCCAGCGCGGAGGGTCCTCGAGCCGTGTTCGTGCTGTTGGAGGAGCGCAGTCCGGCCGACTCAGCCCAGCTGCTCAGGTGCGGGGACGCTCGGAGCCAGTAGTGCTGCCTGGGGTGCGGGGGAGCCTGATCTGGGTGCAGTGAGGGGCCCGGACTGGGATTTGAGGGTTTTGGCCTAGGCTTGGAGGACGTCGGGGCACCCGTTTTGGAGGGGGGGCACGTAAGGAATCTGGCGGTGGCCTGCTTGGACTGAGGCTTAAAGTAGTCGTGGAAGTGCATTAAGGGAGGCCTGGTTCAGATTTGGAGTGGGGAGGGGTCTTAACTGGGTCTAGAGGGACATGTTCCGTTGTGTCCAGAAACTGGTCTAGGGTAGCTGAACTTAAGGGGCTGAGACTGATTAGAAGCTGAATTTGGGGTCCTTGAGTCAGGCAGGAGGGGGGTGAAGTTGAGGGGGCACTCTCTAGATGAGGCACTGTCTTAAGCGACTTTTTCTCTGTGTCAGAGAAGGGATTCTGCAGGACAGATGTGCTGTCTTGGGAGCTTGGTGATTTCCAATAGCTGGTTGCTGGAGGCTGTGTTTGGGGTTAACATGAATATGGAGGGATTTGGGGGTATCTCAGGCATGGAACCAGCTTTGTGAGTGTGTGTGAGCAAGAGAAGCAATATAAATCAAGATTTGACAAGAGTAATCTCTTCACCCCCCCTATCCACCCAGCTGGATCATATCGGGGATAATGAAAAAGCCCGCCCCACCATTGGGGCTTGAATGGGAGACTGGCAGGCCGTGGTGAATGGTGCTACGTCTTAGCTCAGAGAAGGCCTCAGACTTTATTTGGGAACCCAGAGGAGGGTCTTGTTTCCGTTGCCACCTGCCCTAACCTCTCAGCAAGCCAAGCCCTTCTCTCCTCGTGTGTGTGTGTGTCTGTGTGTGTGTGTGTGTGTGTGCGCGCGTGTGTGTGTGTGCGTGCGCGCGCGCCCGCGTGCGCACACCCCACCACCCACCCACCCCCACCACCCACCCACCCCCACCAGCCCCCATCCCCCCGCCATCCCCCCGCCCGTCCGCGCGCGCGCGCGCACTTTTTATCTAACCCTCCTAGTCTGTCTCTCAGACCCTGGGGATAATCTTGAATGTGTCACCAGAACTGGAATGAACACCAGTTGCCCCATCCCTGCCTGGGTGGGTCCTATCTGACCTCTTAATCCTCACTTCCATCAGTGGTCTTGGAAGCCCCAGCTCCCTTTTCTCCCAAATTCTGTGCAGTGGGTGTGTAAGCATGGGGACGGGGCTTCGCCTACTTTCTGCCTGGAATTGTGCTGAGCTCTGCGGCTCCTTGGGCTTCCTCTTCCCAACTTCCTGGGTGGTTTTAGGGCCCTGTCTGAGAATGAGGAAAGGAGGGAAGACAGATCCTTCGGGAGGGGAGAGAATTCTTGTCAAGTGTAGTCACTCACAATCTTAGGATCCTAAATATTTGACTAAATTCAAGGATGCATGTCCATCTGCATGCATGTTGATGTCCCCTGCACAGTAGGGACTTGCACCCAGCATGGAGGGCTGAGTAGGAGCCTTTACGTATATCAATTCACCATCTTCTAATGCAACCCTAGATCATCACAGTAGTGGGAATAGTTGGAAGCAAGGGGTGTACGTTGCCTCTTTTGTATGTCAGTGGGTGTCGGTATTGGAGGCGTGTGCGTTTTGATCTATCCAAAAAAACAGGAGAGCTGTGGGCAGACTCATCTGGCCAAGAAAAGAAAGCTCGCATAAAGTGGATTTTCCACCCAAATTCTTCCTCTTGTAAATCCAGATTGTTGGACTGAGGGGAGCCTTTGATATTCCCATTTTGTATTTATGTATGTGTTGGCATCCCATGAACTCTGACTGGGTGGGGAAACTCATTTGCAAAGTGGTGGATCCTTCTATAAAGTGAATCTTTGACCCCGGTTCTCTTTGTGATGCATTCAGTTTGTGCTACAATGGACTGTTATACTGAGGGATGCCCCTACCGTGCTGCATGTGTGTGGACAAACGTGGGCTCACATTCAGCTGCCAGGAAAACAGTAGGGGGTGTGGGGGTGGGAGAACTCTAAATGCAAAGTCAGTAAGCTTGCAAAATGAATCTGTCATTCCTTAATTCTTGATTTCCATTTTCCTCAAACCTAGGTTGTGGTTACACGTGAGTGTGTTAGAGCAAGGTGTTGGGATCCAGGCACTCTTATTATTTTGAGTCTTAAGGAGCTATGGGTAACACAGCAAAAGAGAATGGGGAGGGGAGTCTGGGAGGGGGAGGGGAAAAGACTCGGGAATTCCTGGTGGTGGTAACCAGTGGAGTGGCTGAATGTTAGAGATACATTGTTTTCCTCCTTTTCTCCCACTGTCTCTCTCTCTCTCTCTCTGGGAGGGGCTGAGGTCTTCCTACAATAACAACCACCCCTACCTCACCCTCCCTCAGCCTGAACTCTTTGCTTCCGGAATCCGGGATTGTTGCTGACATCGAATTAGAAAACGTCCTTGATCCTGACAGCTTTTACGAACTCAAAAGCCAGCCCTTACCACTACGCTCAAGGTATGTCTCCTCTGACTCCCCTCCGACTCCCTTCCCAATTCCTCAGGCCCTTTCATTCCCTCTTGGGCAGAGGCCCTCAGTGCCAGCCCAACCCATTCTCTCTTCCAGCTTGTATTTTCCAGGATAGTAAAATGAGGAGCCAGAAAAAGCATGTCACATGAAAGCAGGTGGCCAAGCTAGGATTATAGTATCTCCTTCTAGACCTTTCCTGACTCCCCCAACCCCACCTGCACACCCATTCATTCACAAATAAGGCCTGCAGCATCCCTTGAGTGCTCAAAGGCAGGGTGTGGCCTGCTCTAGCTCTTTGTCCAGGTAGGCGGAGCCATACCCACAGCCCCTGCTCACCCCTCCCCCACTCAATAAACTCACCCACCCCAGGCCATGGAGGAACCCCTGCTGGTCTCTTCGTTCCCCAAGCTGGGGAAGTCTAAATGTGCTGAGTCATGGGCCTGGGCTCTAAGAGAGGGGAGGGGACCTGGAAGAGGGGCAGGAAGAGAGGATTGTGAAATTTCTGAGATTTTCAAGACTGACTAGTCCTGGGACTAGAGGCCCAGGCAGGGGAGGAAGAAGGGCCTGTGATTGCCCTGTAGCCTGGTGCCAGCTCCCAGGAGCTGAGGGAGCATCTCCAGCCCCAAACTGAGCTTAAGAGCCCTCTGTATCCCCGTCTACTGCCACAGCCTCAATTCTGCTTCCTTCCGCTCTCCTTTAAATAGGATAAAGCCCCTCTGCCAGGGCCAAGCAGTGGCATCTTTGCTGAATATAAGAACAGACCCAGATCCAGGCTTCACCATAAGGACTGAAGGCTAAAATTCCCCCACCAGAATGACCCCTGAGAGCTGCCACCAGGCCTGGTTCCTGTGATGACTCCATCACACTATGACTCCTTAGGTTTGGGACTAGACTTTTAGCTTACCTGTGGCCCCATATTTCCCATTCCACAGCCTCCCAATATCACTGCAGGCCACACCAGCTACCCCAGCTACACTGTCTGCATCATCTTCTGCAGGGGGCTCCCGGACCCCTGCCATGTCATCTTCATCTTCATCGCGGGTCTTGCTGCGGCAGCAGCTAATGCGGGCCCAGGCCCAGGAGCAGGAGAGGCGTGAGCGTCGGGAACAGGCTGCAGCCTCTCCCTTCCCCAGTCCTGCACCTGCCTCTCCTGCCATCTCTGTGGTTGGTGTCTCTGCTGGGGGCCACACATTGGGCCGTCCTCCCCCTGCTCAGGTGCCCAGGGAGGTGCTCAAGGTAAGGTCTGGAGGCCCTGGGAGGGCTCCTGATGACTGGGAAGTGGTCCTGGTGGCTTTTAGGTGAGGTCCTGGGGCTCTGAGGAAAGCCTTTAGGTACTACTGTTAAAAGTAGGTTGTGCTAGTGTCCCATTGGGTTTAGGGGTTCTGAGACATTCTTGTGGAATTGTGAAGGGTTCTCGGGCGCTATAGGATGTCTTGGTGGACTGTGGAGAGTCCTTAGTGCCCCAAGGGGACCCTAGGGTCTGTGGAGTGGCTTTGTAGGAAAAGTTCACGTATGTGTGATGCATTAGGAGTTCTTTGGCCGTTGGGATGTCTTGGAAAACAATATGTAGTTCCTGAGTATGTTAGGTGGTGGCAGAGACAGGTAGAGTCTTGGGGACTGTGACGGAGGGAGCTCCAGAAACTGAGGGATTCTACCGTCCATGGGTAGGGATCCCAGGGACTGTGAGGGATTTCTAAGAAAGGGAATTCAAGTCCTGGGGGAGACTTACCGGTATTTTGGGGATCTCAGATTCTGGGCTCGATTTGCCCAGAGTCACCCCTCTGAGCCTTGTTCTACCTTGTCCCCTCCTGTCCTTCCTCCCCCTTACTCCACAGGTGCAGACTCATCTGGAGAACCCAACACGCTACCACCTGCAACAGGCACGCCGGCAGCAGGTGAAACAGTACCTGTCCACCACACTTGGGCCCAAGCTGGCTTCCCAGGCCCTCACCCCACCACCGGGGGCTGCTAGTGCCCAGCCGCTCCCTGCCCCCGAGGCCACCCATGCTGCTGGCCCCACAGGCAGCGCCCCCAACAGCCCCATGGCACTACTCACCATCGGGTCCAGCTCAGAAAAGGAGGTATGTGGCTGCAGACCGCCTTTCTGTGCTCCACCCTCCAACTTCTTCTAACCCTCTTCCATATTTACTTCTTTCCCCAGATTGATGATGTTATTGATGAGATCATCAGCCTGGAGTCCAGTTACAACGATGAGATGCTCAGCTATTTACCCGGAGGCACTGCGGGGCTGCAGCTCCCCAGCACAGTAAGGCCCCAAGATGGGAAAGTTGTTTTGATAGTTAGTTCATCCCTGTGTCACTGAGACTACACCAGGACTGGCTGTGTGTGTGACAGACTATCACCTTGGATTGTATTAGGAGAGAGAGGGAGACTTTATGATGATAACGGGGAAAAGCGGTGCTCTGGGGCCTTGTGTTGGATTGCATGGAAAGGTAGACCTTGTAGAGTTTGGTACGCACAGGATGGGGACTTCATGGAGATACTGAGGCAGAGCGAGGTGCTTGAGCTTCACTGTGGGATAGAGCATTTTGAATGTACCAAGAGATTGGAACACACTAAAAGTCTCAAAACATGGCATGGTTGGAACTTGAAGTGATTCCATGTACCATGTCTCTTGCAGTGAACTGTGCCAAGAGGCTGAGGCCTTGTAGGTAGTGTCTAAAACTTTCCAGAGTAAGGGATGTACCAATAAATTTTAACAACCTGGTTCTGTAACATCCCAAGAGTCCCATAATTTGCCTTGGGGTATACCAAGTGGCTGTTTGCTTCTTTTCAACTTATCAAGAGGATAGAAGCTTATATAAAAATGGTACCAGTTTACCAGAACTTACTTATTTGGACATGGCTAGAGATCAGGACCTCATATTAAATGGATCCAGCAGATTGGTGGGGGGCGGTTTCAAGAGATGAAATCTCATCAAGAGATGGAACTACTTTCTTACAGATTAGTATGCTGTCCTAGAGTATATCCAGGAGAGTGAAAAGGGGCAAAAACAATCTAGGCAGGCAGGAACGTGGTGCTACTTGTGTAGTTGGACAACAAATCCTGGGAGATCAGAACATGCAAGAACGTACCAGAGTTAGGACCTTGGTGCATGGCAGGTGGAGACCATGCATGTAAGGTGGTGCGACGCAGTCACAGCAGAAGACTGGAGATTGGCCTGGAACTCTCCATAAGGGCAGACTTGGGCTGGAACATTGCCATGAGAATTTCCCAAGGTCTGAGAAGATTGGATTGAAGTGTTCCAAGAATGCTGAATTGGAATGTTGTGCTGGGATGGAGGAGGGGACAGGGGGGCTCTAACAGACTGAAATGTTCCATTGGAGCCCACAAAGACCTTAAAAGGGTGGTTTTGCAGCATTTCTTCTCAGAGTCAGCCCCAGAGTTTGGGAGAAGGGCCTCAGGGCTCACTGAGGGATTTGCGGGGCTGCAGGAGCATGATAAATAGGCTGGGCAGGCTCTTGTCCCCAGCAAAGCAGGGTAGATCTACTTGACCCTGTCCTCCCTCATGTAGTCGCTATGTGAATTTCCCTTGAAGGAGAAGGAAGGATCCCTGTACTGGGTCAGCCTATCCTTGCATTAGCGGACCTTTCTTTGCGGAGGTGTAGAGAGTAGGGAGCCTGGTTCTGAGATGGGGCCGAGCCTGTGGTCTGTTGCCAACCATCCTTTCTCTGCCATGCCTGCCCCCAGCTGCCTGTGTCAGGGAATCTGCTCGATGTGTACAGTAGTCAGGGTGTGGCCACATCTACCATCACTGTCAGCAACTCCTGCCCAGCTGAGCTGCCCAACATCAAACGGGAGATCTCTGGTAAGGGCCACGGTTAGCCCCATGTCCACCAGGTCTGGGGGTGGGCCTAGTTTGGGGGAAAGGGGTTTAAGCAGACAGAAACGGGGACTCTTTGCCTCTTTTTTCCACATGGAGGAAAAAGGCCATCACCCCACTGACTCTGTCTCTGGCTTTAACAAATGGCCTATCACTGTGGCTTCTTGGAAAATAGCAAGTAGCATTTAAATTTTTTAAATTTATTTTTTATTATATTTTTTTCCATTTCCATGTATCCCCCTTATGCCCTCTTCTACCCTCCGCCCTCCCCACCAAGAGTGGCATTTTTTCAAAAGTCACTTCCTTTACCTCTGCCCATCAAAGTCTACCTCAGGAGCACATGCTGCCTTCCATCTTTTCCATGCCCAGAGGACCTGATTACCTTCACTCTCTTCCAGAAACAGAGGCCAAGGCCCTTTTGAAGGAACGGCAGAAGAAGGACAATCACAACCTAAGTGAGTGAGAGCACATGCCCTTGCCAGCGGGCTCTGCAGCCCTTCCTCGCTCTGTGCCCCGCCCTGCCTTAGGGGGCCTCTCCCTGCAACAGTTTTCCAATGTCCCAATTTCTCCTCTTCCCTCCTTGGACTATTGATGACTCTTTCCTATTCTCTCTCTCTCCTTTCTCCAAAGTTGAACGTCGCAGGCGATTCAACATTAACGACAGGATCAAGGAGCTGGGCACCCTCATCCCCAAGTCCAGTGACCCGTGAGTCTTGGCCAGGAGCCCCAGGCTGCCAGAGGGTGGGGCAGGGGCCGTGCTCTCCTAAAATCATTTCTGGCAGCGGGGTGGGGGGGGCCCTACCCTGGGTGGGAAGCATCCAGTGGTTCTATTCCTCTGGCCCATTCCCACCCAGCTTTCCTCACCCTGAGCCAGGATTATAGCCTCTCACCATGTCCCCACCTAAAATTTTAGGCCCGTGATGTTATGGTCTGTGTGCCTCATCAGGTCACTGTGTGACACAGGCACTTCATTTTCTGTTTACTTTGTGCATCCTTAATTTGTTCAGGAAACAATGAGCTTCTGCTTTGTGCAGGGTACTCTGCTAGGCCCTGAGGCAACCAGAGGGAATGAAACAAAAATCCCTCACCTCATGGAATTGATATTTTTGTGGGGGCAGACAGACAGCAAAAAAGATTAAAAAAAAGAAAAGTAAAATTCCTGCAATTATGATGAATGTTGTGCAGAAGCATAAAGAATGGGAGGAGGATCCTTAGCTGGTGTGTCTCGGTTGGATGTCGTCCCACAAACTGAAAGGTCACTGGTTCAATTCCCTGTCAGGGCACATGCCTAGGTTGTGCGTTCGGTCCCCAGTTGGAGCATGTATGGAAGGCAACCAATCAATGTTTCTTCTCTCTTTCTTCCTCCCTTCCTCTCTCTCTCAATTTTTTTTTTAAAAAGGAGTCCTGGCTGATATGGCCCTGTGGATTGAGCACTGGCCTGCAAACCAATAGGTCACTGGTTTGATTCCCAGTCAGGGCCCGTGCATGGGTTACAGGCCAGGTCCCCAGTTGGGGATGTGTGAGAGACAGTCATTGTTTCTCTCACACATTGATGTTTCTCTCCCTCTCTTTCCCTCTCTTTAAGAAATGAGTAAAATCTTTAAAAAAAAGAATAGGAGGAAGATGGGGGAGCAGTGGATTGGGGAGGTTTACAGTTTGGGGTGAGGAGGGTGGGGACAGAACAGGACTCAGTGGGCAAGACAACATTGGAATAAACAGCCTCAGGACAGGAGGCAGGAGCCAGCTGTGTGGGTGTCTGGGGGAAGAGGGTTCAAGGCGGAGGGCATAGCTGGGCTGACAGCCCCAGGGTGGAAATGGTTTTCCATGTCCTGGGAGCATTGAGAAGCCAGTGTGGCTGTAGCGAGATGAATCAGAGACAGAGGTGAGACGAGTAGTAAAGGGTCAGGACAGAGCGGGCTTCCTGGTTTGGGAGGTTCCAGGCAGGAGGTAAGCATTCTGTACCCTTGAGGTACCCCCACCTCAAGTTTTAGGCATGGGGTGGGGTGCTCCTGGCACAGCACCCCCAGATCCAGAGAGACTCCATATACAGCACTCCCTTTTTTCCTCCCCCTCAACCCCGCAGGGAGATGCGCTGGAACAAGGGCACCATCCTCAAAGCCTCTGTGGATTATATCCGCAAGTTGCAGAAGGAGCAGCAGCGCTCCAAAGACTTGGAGAGCCGGCAGCGATCCCTGGAGCAAGCCAACCGCAGCCTGCAGCTCCGAATTCAGGTCTGGAAGGAGGAGGTGGTGGCAGGGGTGAGGGGGACTTCCTGAAGGCAGAGGCAGAGGAAGAACAGGCCAGAATTTCCCCTCCTCGCATACATGAGGGAGCCTGGGGCTTCCCAACTCTCATCATCATGATAATGGTGATAAGCAGTAATCATGACACTATTAAAAAGAATAATAATGAATATTGGCTAGTGTGCATTGCGTTTATCTTGTGCCATGCACTGTGACAAGACCTTATCTCCATTGACTAAGTTAATCGTCACAATAGCCCTATGAGACAGGGACCATTGTTATATCCATTTTACAGATTGGGCCTCTGAAGCTCAGAAACTTTAAGCATCTTGCCTAAAGTTATGCGACTAGTGAGTGGTAGAAGCTGAATGTGAACCCAGAAAACCTGCCCTTTCTGTTGCATTCCTCTGCCTCTGAGGGGCTCTGAACTCCATCTTATCCCACTCCTACTCCATACTTTTTGCAGGAGCTCGAACTGCAGGCCCAGATCCATGGTCTGCCGGTCCCTCCCACCCCAGGGCTGGTCTCCCTGGCCACAACTTCAGCCTCTGACAACCTCAAGCCAGAGCAGCTGGACATTGAGGAGGAGGGCAGGCCAGGCGTAGCAACGTTTCATGCAGGGGGGGGCCCTGCCCAGGGTGCTCCCCATCAGCATGCCCCAGTGCCACCTTCAGATGCCCTTCTGGACCTGCACTTTCCCAGCGACCACCTGGGGGATCTAGGGGACCCCTTCCACCTGGGGCTGACGGACATTCTGATGGAGGAGGAGGAGGGGGTGTTGGGGGGACTGTCAGGGGATGCCCTGTCCCCACTACGGGCTGCCTCTGACCCCCTGCTCTCTTCCGTGTCTCCCGCTGTCTCTAAGGCCAGCAGCCGCCGCAGCAGCTTCAGCATGGAGGAGGAGTCCTGATCAGGCCTCACCCCTCCCCTGGGGTTTCCCCACCCAGGAAAGGAGGATAAGTCAAGATGAGGTTCTACCTTTCCCTTGCCCTCCCATGAGACTGCCCTGCCTAGGTGTTTCTGGGAAAGAGATGAGGCCCTACCCCTATAACCAGGCAAGGAGGAGGAGTCAGGTGATGCCCCACCCCTTCCCCACAGGCCCATCCAGCACCCTGAGATCAGAGCCTGTTCCTTGGAGATCACAGCCTTGCCCCTGCCCCATGGGACCCACCCTTGCCCAGGTGAGGGAAGGAGACAGGATGAGGTCTGTCCTGTCCTCTGGGGACTGCCCTAGCCAGGTGTGGGATAAGGATGTGTCAGAATGGCTGTTCCATCCCCTCATAATGGCCACTGTATTCCCTCCTCACGAGGAAGAGGAGTTAAAATGATGGACCTCCCACCCTGGGGGTTTAACCCCTGTCCCTTTACTAATGTCCCTGCCCTGCCCAGGACAGAATCAGAAGTGAGGGTGAGAGCCAGACCCTTTACCTGGGAAGTTAGGTCATGGCCTAGCAATGGAGGGGCCAGGCCATGTGCCTTCCCTGTAGGAAGAACCCAGCACCAGTATTTCAGGTACAGAGGAGTCTAAGATCGGGCCACCATGTGGAGATCATAGTCCTTATCCCTCAGCAACATCCCATCCAAGCATTACACTGCAGGGATGAGTGGTACTTAGGATCCCTTCCTTAACCTGAGAGCGCATGGTGACTTAGCCTATGAAGACTCTGAGCTGACCTTGCCTTAGAGGAAGGGGGGCAGATCTTGAAATCTTGTGGGTTGACATTCCAGACCTAGATCAGGAGTGAGAGTTAGGCCCCTACCCCTGGGCAAATGTGCCTCCTTCCTTAAAGGATAGTTTGGGGAGGTGATGGGGAGTAGGGGATACCGAGTCCAGGTTCCCAGAGTCAGCACCCGTTACTTTTTTTCCACGTGTATAGGAACAGGATGAAGGAAGGGATACTTCTGGGGATTTCCCCAGCCTGGGAAAAAGTAGAAGCCTGTCCCACCAGGGCAGAGGCTTGCAGGAAAAGTTGTAAAAACATGTATGCCTCTTTTGTTTATCTGATTTTTTACTGACCCCCCCCCCATCCAGAAGTTGGTAACCCCCAACTTCTGGCCTCCACCCAGCTCTCCATTTGAAGGACTCTTCCCTGTTTCAGAGTTATCAACAGACACTCCCTGCCCCTCCTACCACGTATACCCAAGGTCGTCAGCTTTGGATTGTTGGGGCTAAGCCCCAAGAAGGGTGTACTGAGGGGTCTGTAGGTTTGTGATTTAATAAATGCTAGGCGTGTTTGATGCGCTTTTAACTTTGGCAAAGAGTCTCCTGTCCTTGCTTTGACTGTGCAGTGAGCATGGCTCATGCAGGCCAGGAGGAAGGGAGGTTCTTGGAAGCAATAGATTTAAGAGGGATGGATGAAAGAATTTAACTAGAAATCAGGGCTGGCGGAAAACAACCTGCAAACAAGAGCAATCAGTCCATAACCACCTGTCAGGTCCCCTCCTGTTAGGTGCTTCACCCAAGTCTAAGGAATACCTTAAAAAGTGCTGATAATTTCCATTCATGTTTAAAGAAACCAAGGAATAGAATTTAAGTATCTGAAGATACACTGCTGGTAAATGGATGAGGAGCTGAATGGTAAAGTTACCTAACCAGTGAGGGCCCTGGTTGGGCAGAGGGCAGAGGGGGTAAAGATTTTTCTTTGAAGTTCACTTTTGAAACTGATAAGGAAGCATGTGAAGATACCTACTGGCACACAGTGGAGGCATTCCAGATTGGAGAAAGGGCAAAGACAAACCATGAAGGTCAGGAACAGACAAGTAATTCCATTTTGGAACACATGTTGACATTTTGGGGGAATTTCAGAGGTGAACAGACACAAGCATCGTGAAGGCTGGGAAAAAATATTACTGGAATCCCTCAGCCAAACTGACTCCCAGGACAGGTATCAGGTTGGTCTTGTCTCTCCCCTAGCAGATGGCCTCTGAGCACTGGAATCTACTCTGGACCTTTGTCATCCCCAGAAGAATGAGCGGACTACTTAACTAGCTTATCAACCCGCTGTGACTCCTAAGGCCTGGTGGATCTACCACCAGACTGGTGATTCCCTAATACTTTTTCTTTTTTCTCCTCAAATTTGCTATATTCTCTTTATTTTATAAAAACAACATGCAGTACCCAGGAGTGTTTAAAGTTTATATTCTGAAATAATTATAGTTTTACCAGAAGTTGTAAAGACATTAGAGGGAGTTTCCATACCTATCACCTAGCTTCCCCTAATGTTACCATCTTACATAACCACGGCCACATTATCTACGCAAAGGAATTAACATTGCCACAGTACAGAAACTCAATTTAAGACTTTATTTGGATTTTACTGGTTTTTCCATGATTTTTTTTTTTCTGTTCTAGGATCTAAGTAAGGACATTCTATTTGTGATCTATTTCAGTGTAATAAATTACCACAATCTTAGTGGCTACAAAAATGCATTATCTCCCAGTTTTCGTGGGTCACGAATCAGGGCTGGCTTAGCTGGGTCCTATACTCCAGGGTGCAATCAAGGAAGATGTTGGGCTGGATGAAGGACTCATCTAAAAGTGGAACTGGGGAAGGATCTGTTCTCAGCTCCTGTGGTTTTTAGCAGGATCCAGTTAATCCGCAGCCTATTGAATTGTGGGGCCTCTGTTCTTTGCTGGCTTTCTGCCCGAGGTTCCCTCAGTCCTTGCCGCTTATACCTTTCCTTCCATGAGGCAACTTACGGCATGGTAACTTGCTCCGTCAAAGCCAGCAAGAGAGTTGGCAAAATAGAAGCTACAATCTCTTGTAATCTAATCATGGGAATGCCATCCCCTGAATGTCCAAGCATTCTGTTGGTTAGAATCAAGTAACTCGAGGGGAGGGAGACCTTAAAAGGCTGTGAATATTAGGCAAGGAACATTGAGAGGCCATCTTGGAAGCAGCCTGCCACAGATTCCACATTGCATTTAGCTGTTTCATCTTCTTGGTCTCTGACAGTTTCTCAGGCTGTCCACTGAGGAGGCCTAGACACTGATTCCCAAAGCAATGAACACATCCAGTACCCAGATCTTGGTTTCTAAATGCTGTTCTCCAATAAAAGGAACCAGGGCCATTTGGAGAAATGGCTGATTTTAAGGCCAGGTTAAGGAAATACAGGATGAGCCTAGAGCATTGTTTAGTGCCAGAAAGTAAGGAAGTACCAAAAAGTAAAAAGGTGGGAGCATGTCATAAGGATACAGGAGCCAACCATCCCACTGGCCAAAGCTGGAACAACTCGGGCAACAACAAAAATAATGGTAGTATTGGATTATACTCCAAAAAATAAATGTCCATGATTCCATGATGTATAAAGAAGTGATATGGTTGAATAAATAAATGCTGGAGATACGGCAACTCTTCCTTAATGTAACATTTCTAAATAATATAGGAGGAATGAGAAAAATAGAAAATTGCCATTAGAATACCATAGTAATAATCGCTGCAGATCTGATCCAATAAATACTAATATTAGTGGGCAAAACTTTAAGATGAACACAATAGTTGCATAGCCTTAAAGTAGCGTCTCTGAAATATTTATTAAATATAGGCATACCTCAGAGATATATTACAAAGTTGGTTCCAAACCACTGCAATAAAGTGAGCCATAATCTTTGTTGGTGGAGGGTCTTGCCTTCCATTTGTAAAAAAAAAGCAAAGAAAAGAAAAAAGCACCAATGAACTACAAAAAGTATGTATTTGATTCTGTTCCCTTTAAGAGTTGGGCTTATTGGATCCCCTTCTCCTCTTGAATATAAGCTGGATTCAGTGACTTGCTTCTAATGACAAGAGTATGGAAAGTGCAATAGTAATTTTATAGCAATTTTGCAGTGAAGAAACCTGGAAGACAAACTTAACCAAGAGATGAATGTTAACATCACCAGTAATGAGGTATGGCAGTACCCTATGATGTGATGTAATGAGGATATTTTACTTTCATAGTATTCTTCCTCCAAACCCCATAACCCCAGTGCAATCGTGACAAAATAGAGAAACCCAAATTGAGGGACATCATACAAAATAACCAACCGATATTCTTCAAAACTGTCAAGATCACAAAAGACAAGGAAAGGTTGTATATTTAAGTAAACAAAGTTGTTTTTGTCTCCAGCTGTCAATTCCAGCTGTGTTGTTTTTTGTTTTTTGTTTTTTGGCCATGAGAACAAAACTAGTGTCATTCTACATATAGGTTTATCAAGGCTCCCGGACCACCCGTGCTCCACTGGTTGGTGTGTGTTGTCTGGAGAGAAGGGAAGCACCTAGTGAACCTTTTTTTTTTTTTTTTTTTTTGGCCTAGGTCAGTTTCAGGACCCCCTGGTAGGGAAGCGGGGGAGGGTGCCTAAGCAGAGAATAGGATACAGCTGAGTTGGGGCGGGTTGTTGATCAGATTTCAGGATTGAGTGTAGCAATCATGGAACTGGAGAAAAAGAAACTTTGTAGAGATGGGCCTCCAGAAATCACTACAGGTGTCGTTTTGGGTCTTTGGCCAAATACTAGCCTGTGCAGGCTTCCAGCTAGACACTGTGAGGCCAAGCAGAGATCAGTCCTGGATTTTCGTTCCATGAATGGATTCTTGCACAGTTCTCCCATGGGTACTTTGACTAACTTCAGTGGACAGCCCTCACCCTGTACTCCAATGAGAAATAGTCACACCAGAAAGGCCCAGCATTAAGAGTGCAGCCACCTCAGGCCTAGAGTGGCTGGAAATTCTCTTTAACATATCCTAAAAATATGCCTCAAAAGGATCAAGGGGAATTGTGGGATTTAGAATGTATGTAACAGTAACACAAAGGACAGGATTTGGAAAATGAAAATATACTGCTGCAACTTTTTCCATCACATATGAAATGGTACAATATTAACTGTAATTTGATTGTGATAAATTAAGTATGGATTTTGTAATCACCAGGGCAACCTGTAAAGAAAATAATGAAAACGGGCACAGCTGAAAAGCCAGTAGGAGAATAGCAACTGGATATTAAAATATATTTGGTTAATTCAAAAGAAAGTGAGAAAGGAAGAACAGAGGATCGAAAATCAGAAGAAACAAATAGAAAATACAACAATGTGATAGAGCTTAATCTGCCATATCAATAATTCCATAAAATATAAATTGGCTAAGAACTCCCATTAAAGGCAAGGATTTTAAGACCAGAAAAAAAAAGAAAGACCTAACCAGAGCTGGGATTAGGATAAGGCAAGCGGGGCACTTTCCTTGGGTGCAAAATTTAAACGGATGCCAAAAAACCCCCTCAGTAATCAGGATAAATAATATTTTAATCAATATTGGGAAAAGATGCAAAGCAATCCATGATGCCCAAAATATCTAAATTTTACAGCACAACAGCATTCTACCCTGTACTTTGACTACTCCAAGGATTGTATAAGTTGTGTGATGGTGGAGGGGGGAGCAGGCAGGCTCAATGACATAAAAATCTCTCACTTGCAATTTCTTTTGAAGGTCATTGTTCCATCCTGAGGGAAGTCGACAGGTTTTTTCCATTGTTTATAGCTGCAATCTACAGTATTGCAAAGTAAAAGGGAAAGTTTCATTTTTATTACAGTACATGTTTGAATTTTTAAATTTTAAGAGCACTTAATACAAATTTCATTCATTAATATATTTGACTTTTTAAAAATGAAATCTGATCAAATATCCAAATATTGAACATATTCAGAACAAACTCTTTTTATCAGGAAAAGAATTAACCAGGAAACATTTGTACTTTACTCGCTTAAACCACTGATAAATTAGTTCACCATTATTAAATACTTTTATGAAAAAATTATTTGCACTACTTGTTTTTCACCAGGTTTGTCTGGGAATCAGGTGCATAGTTTTCTGCTGTTTGTTATGATTGATTTTTCCATTTTCGATACATATTGTTATGCACACCTATTTTATTGTTAAATATAATTTACATGAGTAATTAAGTATATATTATGCATATTTACACTAAATAATTAATGAAAATAAATATATTTTAAATTTAAACTAAAAATTTTCTACATAACTATGGCATCTAAAAAGCCAAGTGGTGCAATATTCAGGAAAAAAGAAAAATATGCACAGAAATGAATCATAATTATAAGGAGGACTACAATTTTTACCATAAACCTCAGTATTCTGACTACTGAAAATGATCGTTTCTTTTATAATTTTAATTTTTAGAGCCTAATTGAGGTATAATTGACATACAACCCTGTGTAAGTTTAAGGTGTACAACATAATTATTTTATATACATATATAGTGAAATTCTGGGATAGACTAGCAGATGGGATATTCTTTTTTTTTTAATTAAAAAAATTTTTTCCTCACCTGAGGACATTTTTTTTCATTGCCTTTAGAGAGAGAGGGAGAGAAAGAGAGAAAGAGGGAGAAACG